CCATCTAAGTTTATTCACATCTCATCCATCCATCTATCTATCCATCTATCTATCTATCTATCTATCTCATTCTGTTCATCTATCTATATCTATCATCTATCAGTCTGTTCTTATCTATTTATCTATCTATCTAAGTTAAGTTTATTCATATATCTATCTATCTATCTATCTATCTATCTATCTATCTATCTATCTATATCTCAGTCATTTATCTATTTATCCATCTATCTATCTATCTAAGTTTATTCATATCTATCTATCTATCTATATCTATCTATCTATCCATCTATCTATCTATCTCAGTCTGTTCTTATCTATCTATCTATCTATCTATCTATCTCAGTCTGTTCTTATCTATTTATCTATCTATCTATCTATCTATCTATCTATCTATCTAAGTTTATTCATATCTATCTATCTATCTATCTATCTATCTATCTATCTATCTATCTATCTATCTATCTCAGTCTGTTCTTATCTATTTATCTGTCTCGGTCTACTCATATCTATCTACCTATAATTCAATCTATCTACTTATACCTATTTATATTTGAATATGTGGTGTGTGTGTGCGTGTGTGAGTGTGGTTTGAGGGTGAGATATGTGTGTATGTTTGTGTTTGTGCGTGTGTGGAGGCGCATATCTGTATGTAAAGAGATTCAGCATTCCAAAAGAAGCCGCCACTTGAAATTTTTAACCAAACCAAAAGTTCTTCAGACGGTTAAATGTTTTTTTCAAGAGACTTCACGCACCGGCAAGATAAAGCAAGAGAGCACCCATAACAAATAAATAAATAAAATACATATATGAAAACAAAAACAACGAATCATAAAAGAAACCAGCAAATTTAACGTCAAGGAAACGGAAAAATATACAATGCTTATTTTAATTCAAGTGATCGGTCGTGACTTCAGATAAAGGCTATTCTACAATGAGGACCAAGAGTATAAGAGCCCTTCCTGTCGCCCGACATTGCTTCGTACTTTATCGGTCATCTCTCCAAACCAACCCCCAGCTGGTGTTGTGTTACGCGTCCTTTTTGAAAACATGTTGCCTGCACTCGTAACAAAGTTCAGTTCTATCTTTGAGCCTTGACCTTCGAACGGCCCGCAAGGAGTCGCAGTGTCTCGCATAAGTGATACATCGTCACGCAAACCCGGATGAAACTTAGGAAAACGGAAAAACGTATATTAGAAAAGAAATTAAAACAAAAACAAAACTATTTGTAATATTGTAAGCATTATTGTTTTAAGGAGGAACAAAGGGTACTGAATTATGTTTTGTTCGCTTGCTGTCGAGGCTTTAACAAAAATCCCACGGTGGTCGACTGTCCCGACGTGAATAAGCAATAGTGATTGTAATCGAAGAAGCGACATACAAAGGGTGTCCATAAAGTTCATGTGCACTTTAAAAAATTTATAATTTCATTTGAATTTGCGATAGAAATAATCTGTAAAAAATGTTATAAAGTTTAACGTACCTAGTTTTAAGTATAACGAAAATAACTAATGTGATTTCAGGCATTACTGTAAATCAGTTGGCAAATGTTTTCCGTGAACTGCAAAATCGTATGACCCTATGTATTTCTATTGATGGAAGACACGTGGAAACTTAAAAAAAATTCAATAAAACCTTAAAAAATATAGATTTACTTATATCTAATTCTTTTTAGAAAGTATTTTTTAGAAAGTATTTGGACACCCGTATATATATATATATATATATATAATACATATATATATATTATAAATTTTTTAAAGTGCACACGTCAGACAAACTTATAATATAAACAAATAATTATACATATATATATATATATATATATACACACACACACACACACACACACACACACATATATATATATATATATACTGTATATATATACTATCTATCTATCTATAAAATATATTTTATATATATATATATATATATATACACTATTTTTGTATATAAAATATCTATATATATATATATACTGTTATATATATATATATATATATATATATATATATATATATATATATATATATATATATATATATATATATATATATATATATATATATATATATATATATATATATATATATATATATATATATATATATATATATATATATATATATATATATATATATATACAGAGTGTCCATAAAGTTCGTGTGCTCTTTAAAAATTCATAACTTTATTTGTATTTGCGATAGAAATAATCTGTAAAAATGTTATAAAGTTTAATGTACCTAGTTTTAAGTATAGCTAAAATAACTAATGGCATTTCAGGCATTACTGTAAATCAGTTGGCAAATATTTTCCGTGAACTGCAAAATCGTATTACCCTATGTATTGCTAAAGATGGAGGACATGTAGAAACTTAAATAAAATTTCATTAAAACCTTAAGAAATATAGATTTATTTCTTTCTAATCCTTTTTTTTTACAAATTATTTGTATCAAAAAAACAAATAAAGTTAAAAACTTTTTAAAGTGCACACGAACTTTATGGACACCCTGTATTAATTCTTTGCGATTGTTTTTTCTTTATCTGGTTTGAAAACTTTCAAAGATAAAATCAAGGCATTTTTTTCTTCAAATTCGACTCTTGAAAGATGCTGGTTTTTTTCACTTCCCCTTAAATTACGACGTGTGAGCAGTTTATCGGCTATCGACACTGAAAACGGAACAGATGACTCGAATTCAAATTCCATTCACTTTTATAAAAATGTAGCTGGAAAAGACATAAACGCATTTTTTATTTCCCAACTATGGTGCTTAGCGGATCAGACAGGTTTCTTTGCGTTTTGGTGGCAAGCATTCTGAGTTCAAAATCATCCTCATGAGGGATGGGCTTCGCCAGATTGTCTTGTTTCTCTTACTACAGGGCGCAATTGTAGAAAACTAAAACACTGGGACACATTTTAAATTTTAATAAAGAAAAATTAATTGCATTATTTACATAAATATATGTCTATATCTCTGAGATGAGGTATTATGATTACATGCATTATTTACATAATTCGGACTGTTATACTCATCTTCACTGCCATATTCACAACGTCTCGGCCGTTGTACGATCCGGCCTTCGTCAACTGATTGAAATTTTTCTTCAGTATCTCTCTATATCTTAAATAATAGTTTAGTAGACTCTTAATTTTAGGGGGAAGTGTATCTCACCTTCGACTTCCGAGAGTTGACCTTCGGAGTCAGATGTAAAATATAATAAGGAAGTCGATTTTGATAGGTTGACCAAGCGTGTGAATGATAGGTAGAGAAAGGTTTTTCAAAGAGTCGAGTCTTAACCGTCAATGTAGACGTGTTCTCTTTCGTGTCTGAAACGGCTCCCCAGTTAGGGGGAACGACCCTCATTTGATAGTGAATGTCGATATTAATAACAATAGACAAGTTGAAATTTTCCGTGTTTGATGTCATTCATTGTTGCCCAAAAAAACATCTTACGAGAGAGAAGATGCAACAATTTATCGATTTGACGCCGTTGACCAAGACCTCACGGCTAGTACTTCAAGGAACTGGAAATAGTGGAGAGGAATGATCACCCATTTCTTGAAGGGATATAGTGCATTAAAGAAGAAGAATCTCTATCACATGGAAAGTACACATACACAGAGTCATTTTTTTCGATTTTTTCTCCCAATCTTTCAATTTATAGCGGTCTGTCTTTCCAAGAACAACAAGTAGTTCCTGTGAAGATTTTGAAGGGTTAAGAATACTTAATTTCATCGTAAATAGACCCTACTTTACTGTGGATATATATATATATATATATATATATATATATATATATATATATGTCAGTGGTGGCTGTAGATCATCTATGTTTTGTCATTACAATATTTAACAAAATATATTATTGGTATAACTTATACGCTAAAATGTTTCTTTTACTTTGAATAAAATATATAATGTTTATATATCTCTACCTAGATATGATTTTTTTTAAATATGTTAAATGTCGAGTGTGTGTTTGCATATATGTTTATGCGTTTGGTGTGTTTATGTATTTCTCTCTTAATTTATTGTATGTTTTTGTGTCAGTAATCGTAGCTGCTGACTGATATCATATTTATTCAGCACTCAACATTTCCAGTCACACTCCTCACCCCAAATCCTTCAGTCGATGCTTTGATTTTCGCCGACTTGTTGTCGGGTTAAATTTAAGTTACCTTAAGTTGAAAAAATTCAATTGATACATTGTACTGTCAGTTCATAGTGTACGGAATAGATTTTTAAAAATAGACATTTGAAAGCAAAAAGTTGAAATATAAATAATAAAATATATGTGGTTTTGAAAAAACAAAGCATACAAGTCAATAGAGATTTTTAAAAGATTATTTTATAGAAATACATTGCCTATTAAGATTGTCTCCAGTTCAGATAGGGCTAAAGCCAACGCAACATGACGGGCTAATTTTATTTCATTCATTTTTTTTGTACTTAATTTTTTTTTTTTTTTTGTTTCTTCTTTCTTTCTTTATTAAGAAGAATATCGACGAAACGGAATTAAAAACTTAATTTTGGATTCAGTTGAAGTCAAGAATGAAAACGACGCACTATGAAAGATTTTTGTTGTTTTCAAATAGATATACTTGAATTTTGACTCACACGAGCTGATCCCGACAAGCCCGATTTCTGGAATAGCCACTGAGATATGTGTGTGTGTGTGTATATATATATATATATATATATATATATATATATATATATATATATATATATATAAGATATGTTTTGTGGTACAAAAACATTATGACTGCCATAAAAAGACAAACATTAATTTTTTATTACCACTCATGATGACAATAAATAAAAAGTAAAACTGAGAAATGGGCTAGCTAACCGGTTTCAAACCTTGCTCAACAGAGCTAAATCGAGGCTAAAAATTAAATAGAATTAACAATAAAATAAGTGGACAATATGTATTGAAAAATAAAAAAATTAAAAATTAAAAAATATTTCTTAGATGGTAATTAGTTGGAGGCCCAGTACGAAGTTCTTCTGTTTACACAGACAGGGCTTCAACGATAAAATATAAATGGCCTCCAACACTTTCAAGTGCTAATTCCAGTGGGACTTGCTAAGAATAATAAATAAGTCCACACTGAATCTAGTAACACAATTATGTCTATTTATGTGTTCTGCCATGGAAGACCCATATATTTTGGTCAGAATGTCTGAAAGAGTAAACTTAAGATTGCGGATTTTCATTGGAACGTGCTGCTTTATTCTGACATCCAACCTTTGAGTCGTTCTCCCTATGTAGTGCGAACTACAACTACATTTAAAGGAATAAATTAAAGAACTATTATGATGTGGAGGGAGAACGTCCTTACGTATGGACGGAAGGACAGGCTTGACAGAGAACACCACACGAGTGTTATCAGCAAAGTAACAATGTCGAACTGTTACAGATACCTGTTTAGCATATCTATCACTGATATTACCCACCGTGTTCGGAGGATGTATAATATATCCGAAAAAATTAAGGTGATAAGATAGAATGGGGAAAAATCTTTTAAACAGACGAATTTCGTCGATGTGGCGTGTGTTTGGTTCGAGATTTTAGGTTAATGTTTTAATTTTCTATCATCTTGTGGTGTTGGCTGAAATTACATCAATCGCAGTCTATCCTATGTTTAATTGCCTCATCTCCTGTATATACATTCATTATAAGTTAACCACGGAGGTATTTCAATAGTTTATTTATTCCAAAACATGAAAGAAATTTACCCACCCAGTAAGGTTTCAGATTACACTTGTAATCTCCCAAAAGTAGATTAATAGTGTATCGTTAAGGCTTGTTGTAACTTTATCCCCTACAGCTGTGAAAATTCTTTGAATTAATAACAATAAAAAGTAATAATGAAGTCAGCTAAATTATGGGATGTCCCAAGAAATAAAAGATACGAAAGTGGATGAAATTAATTTAATCTAATAGAAAAAATATAGAAAGTTGTAAAAAAAATACAATCACAGTAAAGGCGCGAAATTAAAAGAAATAAATAAAGAATGAATGAATAGTAAGAAATGAAAAAGAAATAAAAATGAAAGAAAAATGAATTGAAGATACGAATGAAGGGAAAGAAGTCGAGGAGGAAAATAAGAAATAATGAAAGAAAGAAACAAATAGTCATAAAAAGAAAAAAGAATGGAAGGGAATAAAATAAAGAAAGAGAGAAAGAATGAAAACATGTAAACAAGAAGGAAAGAAGATAAGTAAACAAACAAAATCAAAAAAGAAAAGAAACAAAGAAACAAAAAGATTAAAGAAAAAGAAGAGGGCATAAAAGTAAAAATGAATGTAAAATGTCAACAAGAAGAAACAGACAAACAAATTAAAAAACGAAAGAAACAAACAAAAAAAAAAGAAATAAAAAGACAATAAAAAAAGTAAAATACAAAGGAATAAAAGAAAGAAAGAAAGAAAGAAAGAAAGAAAAAGATAAATGATAGTTAAAAATGAAGCAATCGGATAAAACGAAGAAAAATAAAGAAGAAAAGGGAAGAAAAAAATTAAAAAATGGAAAAGGCAAAAAGCATAAAGAAAGAAAACTATAATGAAGGAGAAAGCAAGGAGAGTCGATAAGAAAAAGTAAAAAGGAAATGAAAAGGACAAAAAAACGAAAAGAATGAAAAATGCAAACAAGAAGTTAACAAAGAAAAGAAACAAATAAAAAAGCATAAATAGAAAAAATAGAAAGGAAGAGAAAGCAAGAAAAAATGGAAGCAGGAAGTAAACAAACAAATAAAAAACAGATAAAAAGGCATAAGAAGAAAGAGAAGTAGAATAGAAAGGGATAAAAGAAAGAAAGAAAGAAAGATAGATAGATAGATAGATAGATAGATAGATAGATAGATAGATAGATAGAAAGAAAGATAGATAGAAAAAATATAGATAGAAAAAAGATAGAGAGAAAGAAAGAAAGAAAGAGAGAGAGAAAGAAAGAAAGTGAGAAAGAAAGAAAGAAAGAAAGAGAGATAGAAAGAAAGAGAGATAGAGAGAAAGAAAGATAAAAGAGGGATAACAAAGGTAAAGAACGAAGACAAATAAAAAGATGAAGACGGAAAGAAAAAAATAAGTGAAAAGGAAACAAAAAAGACAAAAAGGCGAAAAGAAAGAAAGAAAGAAGCAAAAATGAAAAATAAAGTGAAAGAGAAAAGAAGGAGAATGGAAAGAAATCAACGAAAGAATGAAATAATAAAAATATAACAAAGAAAGAAAAGTAAAATACGTAGAAAAAGCGAAAGAAAGAAGAAAAAAGAAAGAAAGAATAAAATCAAAATGGAAATATTCCCAGAAAATAAATACGTTATTCACCCTTCAAGACACAAACGAAGGTGATACCCTTCTCTTCTGTTAGCAAGCATCGGGCGTTAATGTCTGTCAGTTCTTTAACCGTTTTCCTTTTTTTGCTAACATCGTGTTCTGCCTGGCAACAAAATCCTGAACATAGCATGACAGACATAGAGAATCTTTCTTTTCCCAGTAACCAAAAATGAAGTTGATGTGGTTAACGAGCAGAAAGATACACAGAAGCAGAACACTGACAGTGTAATACGAAGAACGAAAAGAAACGAGAATGGACAGGGATGACTCTTCCGTGCTGAGAGTCTTGAAAAGCCACTGACAAGCGTTAAAATCAAAATGGAAATAATAAAAAAAAATGGCCGACTGAAGTTCGACAAGTCGCGTCCAACTTTGCGAAATAAAATCTTGGATTCAAAAGGTCGGATTCTCTAATCAATCAAAATGCCTACTTTACACACTGACTGTCAAGACTGCACACAGACACACACACACACACATATATATATATTTCTAAAATCATATGCTCATATACGCAAAAATTTACTCAGAAAATATTAATAAATTTAAGGATATTTTTTTAGCTGAGTTCTGTTCAACGAAGGCATAGTTAAATGACTTATGCATGTTTGACTAATGCAAACGTCTGGAAAATTGGTTCACACCCTCCTTGGTCTTTTGTTCAGGAGTCGAGGTATATCCTTTGTTCCCTATTTAGGATTGGGTTTCCGGTTCCTTCTAAAAATTTTCATTCTTTATCACTCCGAGTAACCTCTTGCTTCCCAGTGGCATTATCTCCTTTCTTGGGGTGAATTGACTTACAAAACGATTAGAGGCAAAAATCTTTTATTCAATCATTAGCGTTACAGAGCGTGTAGGATTACCCCAAAATGGCAAAACGTACCATACTTATCAGAATTTTAATGACCCAAACTGAATTGTAAAGAAAGGAATCTCGTAGACGTCTTATCCTGATATTGGTGGATTTTATTTGTTTAAGACCTTAATAGAAACAAAAAAAAAAAAAACGCGCGAAATTTATGCAGTAAAGATAAGTGAAGACGCCTCTCCGCTCCGAGTTTCATTCGCCATCTTTAGCTTCAGAGATAGACAATCTTTGATGGCAAGTAGCTGGCTGACCTGATGACATGTATTCTATCTGTTTTCACTCGTCACTCTTGTTTCTTCTCCCACCCGAAATAAAGCTAAAATAAAGAGCAGAAACCCGATGGAAGGTCGCTGTCTTTCATTCACTTTGTTATGCAACGTTCGGGGAACACGATATAACGAAATTTTTATATGGCACCAAACTTGTCCAGAAATCTCTATCTATAAAAGGCAGGATGTGTGTGTGTGTGTGTAACGAATGCACGGCCGCAATTTTCTACCGATTTGCACCAAAATTTACATGTACATGCACCAAGTTAGCGGATAGGCCAAGAGCGACTTTGCATTTCCCAACACCCATCGATAGTAGAAATAATCGATTTTTTAATGCTTCTATGGCAGTTTTCATGTAGTTTGTGGCCATTTTCTACTGGCCAGAGTGAGAGCCTATAGCTGGCTGCCACGAATAGGCAGGAAGATTCTATTGGCCAGCGTGAGAGCCAACAGCTGACTGACACAAATGTTAACTAGCATGCTAGCATGCAAAAGAAATCGATAGCTGCATTCGTCACCTGACTCATGTAGCACTGGCTGCTTGGTCAATAGATATCGAATGTTTCCTTATAAGGAAACGGCTAATATTACCATTACCATTAGAGATTAGGAGAACAGATACTACACTTTGATCCCAGGTCGATGACCAGAGAGTGACGAAAAATCTGTTTCGTGTAACACTGACGGTTATTTTAACCATGAGAGATTAAGAAAACAGATATTATTTTAACCATGAGAGATTAAGAAAACAGATACTACACTTTAATCTCAGGTTGATGGCCAGAGAGGGAAGAAAATCCTGACTCGTTTAGCACTGGCTGCTTGGTCAATGAATATCGAATGTTTCCTTATAAGGAAACGGCTAATATTACCATTACCATTAGAGATTAAGAAAACAGATACTACACTTTAATCCCAGGCCGAGAGCCAGAGAGTGAAGAAAAGTCTGACTCATGTAGCATTGACAGCCGAACGCTTCCTTATAAAGAAACGGCTAATATTACGTTACCATTAAGAGAAAAAAAAAAAAAATCATGCTGATTGCTGATCTACGATATAATTAAATAACATATCTGTCACATACCGTTTTCTTTTCGCAGTATATTTTTTTATATACGCATTCTATTTCATTCTTAATTCTTGTCATTACTTTCTTGCTGGAGCAGATTTGTAAATTTATCATAGCTTTGTATAGAAAAAAGCATTGTATATATATATGGGCGTTACTATTGAGATTTTAGACATTAGATAGGTGTTTTTCAACATGTACCCTGCGAATAACGCTGGGGGCTACTGCAACGTTTTACTATTTTTCTCCTAATGCAAGAGGAGCAAGTAAAAAAGTGCAGATGATGAGATTATGCAGGACAGACAACATTTGACTTTGGGCTTGAAGAGTTTAAGTTTGTAGTAATCAGGGGAGCATCTTCTCAGGAGTTTTTTTCGAATTGGACTTCCTTCTTTCCAATGAATTGCGAAAGGAATGATGGTCATTTCACAATGTGTGCGTGGCATGTCGGGTGTTAGCAGCAATGGGGTGTCTCTGTGTTTTCGATTTTTAAGTAACGTAGTAGATACTTTTTTATCTTTTAAATAGTAGTTATAGCTATTTTTTCGTCGAATTTTTGGATTGCTGTGGTTTATTTGAACGATTAATTTGGCGGGATTGGTTTGTTAATTTGTTTATTATTAACTTAGTTTATTTATTCATTTCGATTGATTATTTTTACTTGTTTTTCTTATTTATTTTTTCTCATCTATTCTAACGGGAATTGTTTGTAAATTTGTTTATTATTTTCTTGGGTTAATTGATTATACTTGTTTTTTATTATTATTTTGTTTATTTTTATTTATTCTTTTCAGTTTTCGATTTTTAAGTAACGTAGTAAACATTTGTTTTCAAGTCTGCATTTTCAGATGAGTTTAGATCGTTTATTTAGTAATTTATTTTGGTCTGGGAAGGTAATAATAGCTATTTTTCCCTCCAAGCAAAGTTTACAGGTTTTGGATTGCTTGTTGTAGCTTATGGTCTTTTCCTTATTTTCCATGATATTTTTGGTGGGATTTGCGTTTTGGTTTTAATTTCCCAGATATACTTAAAAGGTATTGTTCTGTTCGTGTATTTACTATTTGTGAAAGATGATTTGTGTGCATAGTTTCTTTATTTCCAGGGTTCTTCATTCACTCCCATGTATATTTTTTCTTCATTATCCGGTGATATTACCGTGGCTTGGTATATTATGTCGTTTTTTATGCAATTACCGTTTAAGAAACATTCATTCTTTATTCTGCAGTTACACGTGGGTTTAATTTGTTTGTGTGGCTTTTTGATAATTTTCCTGATGTGCTTTTTTATTATTTGTGCCATGTTCTCGGTCCAACTGCAGCTGATTTTAACTTTTGTTGAATATTTTGTTTTGAGTGTTTGATTCCGAGAAGTCTTTATATAAGATTTTGAAGAATATTTTTCCCAAGTTTCTTTGCAAAAATAAAAAAATAAAAAACAATTAAAATAAATTACCCCAAATAGATTAATAAATAACTAAACAAACCACTCCCGCCTAAATAGCCGTCAGAATGGACTACCCACAATGCAACACTGACCCGTATATATAAATAATTGAGAAAAAAACCAAATCATGTGGCCTGACGATTGCGTCTGGCATGAAACAGCCTGTCACCTCTGAGTGTTGACTTCAATGTTCACTTTCATATTTTACATGCTCTATCTCTGAGATTGAGCACTTTATCCCATAAGTATACCACACCTTAAAACTATATATATATATATATGTGTGTGTGTGTGTGTGTGTGTATGTATGTATGTATATCGTCTAAAACAGACTCAGTGTGTCAGACAACCTCAACAATTCATCAATTCTCTGACACTCGTTGATGACGAAATAACAAACAGGATCAGCAAAGCTACAAGTGCATTTACAAATCTTCGTCGCCACCTCAAATGAGGAACCAAAATACGGATTTTTGACCAAACTGTTGTACAGCTCAGAAACACGGATCCATTATATGTCCTATATCAATCGGCTGATTGTCTTCCACAAAAGTTGTCACTGCACAATCTGTGGGTGTACTTTTTGTACTATCTATTTGTCCAACTATGTATCTCTATCTCCTTTTATATCCTCACACATACATTAAAATATAGTTTAAATGTCTGCTATCTTTATGAGTTAAAATGCTCATTATCAAGGATAGAGCGTAGGTAAATATAAAAGTCGACATTGAGGTCAACACATATAAAAGTGGACACTAAGTCAGCGCATATATAAATGTGGACACTAAGGTCAACAAATACAAACACACCACCACCACCACCACCACCACACTGTACAAGAAAAACCAAAAGGAAGAAGAAACGTCATATAGTTTAACACGCTGTACAACAAAACGTATGAACAAACGTAAAAATATATTCATTAAGCTCGTCGATAAACAATCTCTCCTATGAACGCCTCTCTACAAGATATTCACCAAACACACCGTAAAAATCAGCTACAGCTTCGCCGAGAAAAAGCCAAATATTAATCTACGCCCAAGTTTTTTCCCTATTTCACCTTTCTTAACAAAATTAATACTCTTACAAACAAATATACACAACATATTCATAAAATCAAAAGAAAATGGTTGAATACATCAACACAGATTTAATGACAATATTCTCCACACGTGACAAATACTGACGTTATTTTTCAGTTAAAAATATGAAAATAGCGTTTCTCTACATTCCAGTTGCTACGAACATTCTGTTTTTATTAGTTACTTTGTTCATTTAATTTCATTTTCGTATTTTGCTTTGATAAAGTCCACATTGGACGAAACGCGTCAGCAATT